TTTAGCTCTGGGGCCTCGCTGCTGAAAACATAGATACAATGTTGCGGTCCGAGCCCGGCTGAATGGAAGCCCTTTTCTGGGGTTTTGTTTAGCTTCTTATTTGCAACATAGTATATAGTTGCTTAGAGTTGCAACTGAGAGGCTGGCAAGTTAGGCGGAGAACGTTGGAATCTGCAGCAAGCAAGCCTCCCTGCTCGCTTCAGTGCCTGGCTGCCAGCCGCCATCTTGGCTGACAGTTAATTTGCATATACTCACTGATTAGCCAATGAAAAGGGTAGCGGTCGTACGCCAATTACGATGTTTCTCTTTTATTAGTGTAGATTGCTATTGTCATAATATTTGTAGCTATAGTTGTAAAAGAGAAAATGAGATATTTTGAATCTCTTTTATTACTTCTTATATTAATGAATGCTTGTATTTCAGGAAGGAACATCTGCCATGGAAAATCTAAATGAAATGCAGTGTATGTGGTTTCAAACAGAGTGCATTTTAGCTTATCAGCGTTTGGGGAGATATGGGGATGCCTTGAAAAAATGCCATGAAGTAGAAAGGGTAAGTTGATAGAATTTTGACTTTATTTTTCTCTTGTAAAGTGATGGAAAAAAGCAGGTATTTTTCTACATGGGATCATCTACCTTTTTTATCTACTTTGGAAATTTCACTGTGAAAATTTTTGACCTTTAGTCTTTCAAACATTCAGAGGTTGTGAATAAATGATTGCTTTTGTTTATCCTCAAATGGTTATGATTTCAACATCTCCATATTTTTGTCTAAAGGAAGAAGTAAAAGATTAATTTAGTAAGTCATTATTGCTATTAATAACATATATTCAAAATCTCTACTCCCTAATTGGGCCATTATTTGATTTTCATTACTAGCCTAGAAGGACACACGAGCTGATGGTCATCTCTTTTCCCTTTATGTCAGGATCTGCTCAGTAGTCAGCCTCTCTCCAGTTTGTCTTCCCAGGATATTTGTTCTCACATTCAGTACTTTGTACAGCAGTCTGTGACTGATTTGCTGGCTTATTTTTATTACTTGCTTTTAGGATGATGTGTGTGATGTGCCTTAGTGAGGGGCCTTTTCTTTTCCTTTGTGTGAATTTTGTTTCCTGTTCTTTGTCATCTCTGAAGCACTCTCCTTCCAAATGGACAACAGGAGGAAAAGAGCCACAAATGCACCCCTGAGGCAGTCCTCAGCAGCCCTCAGTTGGGCTCAATCGGCACCACTGTTCCCATGCTGACGCAGTATTAAACCGCAGGCATCATAGTCAGGTGAGCCTGAAGTCTGCACTCTGGCAGTCACTTTGGCCTTTTTCCCATATGAAATTTCTGAGGTTACCCAAAGGAAAGGCTAAATAAATTTTAGGGGGTGGCTTTTGATGGGAACTGGAGCTAGGATTATACCTGAGCCCTTTTATAAATAACCTAGTTCTTGCTTTGTTTTCTTTTCTTTTTAAGCCTGGGCTTATATCTCTGGGAACTATTTTCATCTCCTTGAAAATATAAAGCCCTTGGATGATAAGTGAACTATTCAGGAAATATCCAAATATTGTGTAAATCAGGCTCTTCTGTGATACAAACGTAGATCACTAGCTTGATGACTGTTACTTTAAAACATTGTTTGTAATTAGGAAAGATCCATTTTTCATTAACCAAGACATTCTTGGTGAGAGACAGATTGTTTACTTATGGATCAGTAATTCCAGCAGGACCATAACTGGAAATTTATTAGATTTTCTGTGAAAATGAAATTTGAATATCCTTAGGATCATTATAATTATGAACTTTCCAGCTTCATTCCATTCCTCCTAACATTAATAACTATATTACTAATTGCTTTTTAATATTTTTGAAGGTTGTTAGACTATGATTTCATTACTAGGTTTTATTTAGATATTTTACCTTGAATTTTTAGTGATTTTGGCTGAGTAACATGAAGTAAAATTCTGTAATGTCAGAGATTAAGTACAGTTGACACTTGAACATTGAGGGCCCTTGGGGCGCTAACCCCTTTGCAGTTGAAAATCATCGTATAACTACTGTGTGTCCTTTGCATATGTGGATTTCAAACCATGGATCAAAAATAGAGTTGACCTTTGAACAACATGGGTTTGAACTGCACAGGTATTCTTTATACACAGATTTTTAAAAATGATAAAAACCTATGTTCAAGAATCAGCTGTACTTCTAGTTCAAAAAACATGATTTGACAAAGCATTTTTGAAGAAAAAAAAGTATAGGAAATCATTGGTTGAGATTAAAACAGGGCAAAAATCATAACCATCTGGTCATTATACATAATTATTATTGCTAGAATCTCTACTGTATTTAGGATTTGCCTTTGGTGCTTTAGAGTAGAAGAAACTAGAAGCAAATAAACAAGAGCCTATTCTTATGTTACTTGTTAGTCTTTTCATAGTGAATTCATACTGAAAGTAAGACGTAACTCATCTAGTGGTTATATATGAGTGCCTAATACAAATAGGGTGATTAAAACTTGTTGACTGACTCTGCTTCTAAAATTAATTTCTAATACAATTAATGTAATCTAAAAAATTCTTAATGATGTAATTGTAAGGATTTAGGAGTAATTACTGAATTAAAAGATTTATTATGATAGGTATCTGCATGAGTTACTTTTGTTCCTGAGTTTAAAATACTTTAGTAAAGAAATGAGCACCTTTCAAAAATAAAACTTTGTCGTTTACTTTCTAAATAAAAGGTCAGTTAATAGAGAGATAAGTTCAAATAAGGGGCTAAGTCTTGTGCCTTTTAGAACTCCTTCCAGCATTCTTTCATTGAGGCAGTTTCAGTTGGGACACATATTGCTGTGAGCTCTTACTAACTGGATTTGAAATGTTAGAATTCTAGAATGGCCCAGTGTAGTACTTTTTCTGTCTTTATCTTGCCCCCCTTATAGGATTTTAGGATTATGTATACAGGTTATATAGAGAGAGTCTAACTCAATATGATGTTTAGAACTTGAGTTTTATTCAACACAAAGCAAAACAACTGCCTTTAAAATATTGGATATAAACTTGTGCTCAGAATAAAATTTTAAACTATTTTATCTTTCAAGAATTGAATTTTCGCCTGGCCGGCGTGGCTCAGTGGTTGAGCGTCAACCATGTGAGTCAGGTGATCATAATTTGATTTCTGGTCAGGGCACATGCCTGGGTTGCAGGCTTGATCCCCAGTATGGGACGTGCGGAAGGCAACCAATCAATGATTATCTCTCATCATTGATGTTTCTATCTCTCTTTCCCTCTCCTTTCCTCTCTGAAATCAATTTTAAAAAGACCTGAATTTTCTTTTCCTGTTTTTCAGATTGATTTTATTTTAGTGTACTGATTTGTATCTGAAACAGAGCAATAATACATATTTCGAAAACTTTTTGATAAGATGTAGGATTTCTGATGGCTCACAACTATAGGAAGTTCATAACTTTTATCTTCTAGTGCATCCTAATCTTTATCAAATTGACACATGCTTTATAATGGCAGATTCTCTCTATATAAAGAAAATAGTGTTGCTTATTATCCTCTTTGGTCTAGTTATTACTATATTTTAATTCCAGAGGTTTTTGTTGTATTTCTTTGTGTGGGTTCTTATTAGTGTACTCCAGTAACTCTGAGAAGGAATGGGTAGATGAATCTGGGTCAGAAGCGAGGGCCTCATAGCAAATGCCTAATGAAAACCACACTCTTAAGCTCTGAATAGTATTTCTTACTTCTTTGCTGACTTGTCTTACTTTGATTCAAGCCTAACTTTGGAATTTAAGCAATTCCTGCATTACTACTTCCTATCACTAAGAAAAAGAAAGAGAAAGAACTAGTGTTTATGATGAGGGAAGCATTGAGTTAGGGCATAAACAGTATGTTAAAATTTGGGTACCTAGAGTCTACGGTGAGCTAAGTGATCTTATCATGTTCATGTTTGATCAAAGTGCAGGAAAACTAACTTTATCTGTTTGTGTTACCTAGTATATTTTTATGTTTTATAAATTTGGAGATCTGAAAGTCAACCCAAGATGTGGTACAAGGGAGATATTTGTGGTAATTAGACATTATGTATCTTGATTGTGGTATTGGTTACTCGAATCTAAAAAACTGTACACACAAGTTGTACCAATGCCAGTCTTTTGGTTTTGATATTGTATTATAGTTATGTAGGATGTAGCCTTTTGGGGGAAACTGAGGGAAGAGTGTATAGAACATCTCCATACTACCTTGCAACTTCCTCTGTATCTATAATTATTCCAAATAAAAAGTTAAAAAATAGAAAATCAACCTAAGATTATTTAGTTGTTTTTAAGTAGGATTCTCCAAACATGGTTTCTTCCAAAAGCAAAATTATTTTGTAGTACCTATGTTTTCAAGTTTAATCTAGTCATATCTGGTCTACCACCATTAGTTTATTTATTATAGAGTGATCAACATCCAAGTTTGGAGGGCTCAGCAAGTTCCTGAGACACAAGGTTTTCAGTGGAAAAACTGAAAGCCTCAGGCAAAGTGGATAAGTTGGTTACCCTATTTATGGAAGACATTAACTGGAGAGAGGCAGCCTGTGGGCTGTTACTGATCAAGAGGAGGCTTTAAATGTTTGTGATTCCTTCTGAGACTTGACTTAAAAAATCTATGTTTACTAATGCTGCTAGGAATATCTCTTGAAACGTGCTGCTTCTCAGCCTAAAAAAGGTCCTGTAACCTCTTAAAGTTTTTATCTCCATGAATTTTGGCACTGCAATTTTCCTTAGTCAGTTTTATTGAATTTTAAGATATTCTTACTGTGCTAGACATAACTTGATTGACATCAAGGAAGATCACGAACAACTTTATGAAATATATAATTCTTAAAAAAAAACACCAAGCTCGCTATTTATGAATTGGTTTGTGTTATTGATGGGAGGAATGCAATTTTCAAATATAATAACATCATTAAAGCATGATTCTTGAAGTAGTAAATAAAACTAATATGTTCATTTTTTTCTATTGTGTACATTTTCCACATTATGTACTTCTTATCTTAAAATTCTTCTTTTAAAATCTCAGGTACTTAATGTAATTCTGTGTATGGTGTGTTTCTAATTACCAAGACAACTAAAATTATCAAATGATATGGACACTAATGTGTCCTCTGCATGTTGAGTTACTAGGCGCCAGGATAGAGGGAATATGAAGTGTAGAAGAGCTTGCTCTGTATTGGTGTGTTGAATCATTATTTTTTCTGTTTTTGGAGAAGCTACTAGTAAAGTAGGAGGAAAAAAAAATGCAGGCAGAGATGCATGTAGGGAAGAAAATAAAAGTATAAATTGTTTCTAGGGAGTTAATCTTCTCCTTTCTATGTAAGAGATTGGTGCTTAAACTTTTGGGGGGCCATGGACCCTTTGAAATTAGATGAAAGCCTCAAACTCTCTCCTTAGGAAAATGTTATTAGGTTTATACATAGGCTTCATACTAAGAACCTTTGCTAAAATGGAATGTAGGTAGATTAATGGTAGCTTATTGAGCGAGAGAAACCCATAATGCTGTTTGTATAGCAGTTCACAGTTTAGAATGAACTTTAAAATATGTTCTTATTTGATCTTTAACAACCTTATGAAATTGGCAATATAGATGTTATTCCTAACTTAAGTAATCAAGGATCTAATTGAGGTCACATGCCTGATCAGCACCTGGTCTCTTGAATTAGCCAATATTGTGCTTATTGAGTGTCTGCTGTGTTGGGCCTTGTGCCAGGCAGTAGGGATAGACATGACAAGGCCTACTCTTGAAGAGCTCATAGTTGAGCAGAGCAGTCTGATTTGTAGACATTTTGTGTGAATCTATAGTATATAGTGTTCAGTCAGAGCTGTTTAACTCTGCCATGCTGATGTTTGAAGAATACCGAGGAGAAATGTTTCATTAAAATTAAAATATCAGTACATGCTAATTTCCAGGCTTAAAAATCTGACTTATTACATAGAAATTGAGTATCATCACAAAACATGATTTCTAGTGAATGATCATCAATTGTAGAAAGAAACTTCAGTTATATGCAAAGAACTTGTTGTCCTTCATAGTGTTAAACACTGAAGAGGACAAATAAGTGAAATTGTGACTGTTAAAAATGTTTTGGGGGATTTTTATGGTTTTCTTTTCAGAAGTAGACATTATTGACAATGTAAGAAATAATTTTGTGGTTTTGTTTTTAAGCATTTTCTTGAGATAACCGATGATCAATTTGACTTCCATACATACTGCATGAGAAAGATGACTCTTCGTGCCTATGTTGATCTTCTGAGATTAGAAGATATGCTCAGAAGACATGCCTTCTATTTCAAGGCTGCTAGATCAGCAATTGAAATATACTTGAAATTGTATGATAACCCCTTAACCAATGAAAACAAACAACAAGAAATAAATTCAGGTAACTGAGAAAGAACTATTTTTTAAAATTTGAAAAGAACACTACATTTAAGAATGTTATTAGTATAAACAATCCAGAAAAGTACATTATCAAATGGATGTGAAGACTGTGTGTGTGTGTGTGTGTGTGTGTGTGTGTGTGTGTGTGTGTGAAAAAAAAAATTGGGGGAAGACTTAGAAAAAGCGACAGGATGATGTTCTGTAGCTGATGCTTCTTAATCACCCCAATGCAATGACTTGGAATCTTTATTTTTATCTTCAGTAAGGCCAATTCAGGAAAAATAGAAATGTCTATTGGCTAGGCTCTTTAACATTATTATTATTATTAGTTTGTAACTGAAAAAGGCTTTGAGCTCCTAGGGAAAAATAATTATTCTTACAACTTCTAGTATCTAATAATGCTAATGAGAATATATAGCTTTCATTCACTAAAATGTTAATATCTAGGAATATTTGAAAAATAGCATAGAGGCAAGTTTCTGATCTTTCATTTGTGATATTTATGTGGTGTCTAGAGATCATAAGTGTGCTTATATACACTGTCTTATCCTTGAAATACTCTTAAGAGAGTAGTTGGTATCATCAGCCCCAAAAAGCTGTATTAATAGTTTGTATTGTATAAGAATATGAGAAAAAATGGAAACATTGACTCAGAATGTTTATGCATTTGGATATTTATAGAAAACCTGTCAGCTAAAGAATTGAAGAAAATGCTTAGCAAGCAGAGAAGAGCTCAGAAAAAGGCTAAATTAGAAGAAGAGAGAAAGCATGCGGAAAGGGAACGTCAACAAAAAAATCAAAAGAAAAAAAGGGATGATGAAGAAGAAGAAGCCAGTGGTCTCAAAGAAGAACTTATACCTGAAAAATTAGAAAGGGTGAGATGAATTTATCATGTCAATTTGGTAAAATTTATGTTAATTCTGTTCTGGCTATAAACATGTTTTATTTAAATTTATAAATCAGAAGCCATTTGTAACATTTTAAAAAAATATATTTTTATGATTTCAGAGAAAGAAAGAGAAACATCAATGATGAGATTCTCTGCCTCCTACATGCCCTCTACTGGGGATTAAGCCTACAACCCGGGCACGTGCCCTTGACAGGAATTGAACCTGGGACGCTTCAGTCCGCAGGCCAACGCTCTATCCACTAAGCCAAACTGGCTAAGGCCATTTGTAACATTACAAATGATATGCTGTAAATAATTTTTGAGTGATAATATGCGAATTTTGCTAATGCATATTATACATAGAATTGTAGTTGTGGTAGGCAGAATTATGACCCTCCAAAGGTGTCTGTGTTCTAAACCCTGGACCCTATGACTATATTAAATTTACATGGCAAAGGGGAATGAAGGTGGCAAATGGAATTTAAGGTTATACTTAGCTGGCCTTAAGATGGGAGATTAGCCTGGATTATCCAGGTGGGCTTAATGTAAATTCATAAGAGGCCCTTAAAAGTGGAAGAGGAAAGAAGGTAGGAGTGGTATGAGAAGGACTCCACCCCCTGTTGCTGGCCTAGAAGGTGATGGGAGGGGTGGGAAGAAGGCAGCTATAAGCAAAAGAATGTAGGCAGCCTTGAGAAGCTGAAAAACACATTAAAACATGTTCTCCCATAGAGCCTCTGAAAGAGAATGCAGTCTGGCTGACACTTGATTTTAAATCCAGAGAGACCCATATTTAACTTTTAACCTACAGAACTGCAAGATAATAAATTTGTGTTGTCTTAAGACGTTAAATTTTGTTAATTTGTTATAGCAGCAATACAGTTATCTATTATATATGGAAGCATTTCATATATCTTGCTAGGTATGTGTTAGCTACAAAGAATTAATTCTTCATCTCCAGGATTTAATTATTCAGAGACTAGATTTAGGGAAATATTTTTTTTTTCCTGTTTTATTTACTGTGAATTTTTAATTTGTTTTTACTTTTTAATTTGTTATTACTTTTTCTCTGTTATTTGATACAATTATATTTGTCTCCTTACTTTATATGTTTGTAGTATAAGGGGCTGTAATATACTTGGTGTAATATCTCCTTCAGTTGGTTATATAAAAAGATCTGTTGCAGGGATTCAGAACAAGTCACTCCAACATGTGCCTAAAGGCAGCCAAGACCTTGTAGACTTAAGAGAAATTCTGCCTCTTTTAACTACCTAGAACAGGGGTTCTCAACCTGTGGGTCGCGACCTCTTTGGGGGTCAAATGACCCTTTCACAGGGGTCGCCTAAGACCATCGGAAAACACATATATAATTACATATTGTTTTTGTGATTAATCACTATGCTTTAATTATGTTAAATTTCTAACAATGAAAATACATCCTGCATATCAGATATTCACATTACGATTCATAACAGTAGCAAAATTACAGTTATGAAGTAGCAACGAAAATAATTTTATGGTTGGGGGTCACCACAACATGAGGAACTGTATTAAAGGGTCGTGGCATTAGGAAGGTTGAGAACCACTGACCTAGAAGAATCGAATTAGGGGCCTTTCCCATAGTAAGAGATTATCAGAGATTACCTTTTTTGACCTCTCTATATAGCAGGGCAAACTACTAATTATTAAACATCTGCTCTTCTTACCTTCCTCCTTTCTGAAGACTCGAGGCGGTCCTTAACTCAGAATGTCATATATACCTCATTTTCCCTTTCTGTCTTTGAATCTTTCATGTATGTGGGATCTCTGTCTCATGTATACAGGGTTCCTGTATGTATGTATGTATGTATGGTATGTAATTAAATTTGGGCATTTTCTCTTGTTAATTTGTCTCATGTTTATTTGATTATTAGACCAACAGAAAAACCTTGAGGTTAGAGGAGAGTTTCTTCTTACTCCACACTGTAGAAATTATTTCAGATGTGTGTTAATATAAAATTTGGGGACAACCCTAACCGTTTTGGGTCAGTGGATAGAGCATCGGCCTGCAGACTGAAAGGTCCCAGGTTCGATTCCGGTCAAGGGCATGTACCTTGGTTGCGGGCACATCCCCAGTAGGGGGTGTGCAGGAGGCAGCTGATCGATGTTTCTCTCTCATCGATGTTTCTAACTCTCTATTCCTCTCCCTTGCTCTCTGTAACAAATCAATAAAATATATTTTTTTAAAAATTGGACAAATTTGACTTGTTTAGCTGTTTTTAAACTATAATAATTTTTCCTTCTGCTTCAAAATAGGTAGAAAGTCCGTTGGAAGAAGCTATCAAGTTCCTCACACCACTTAAGAACCTTGCTGCTGATAACATTGACACTCATCTATTAGCATTTGAAATATATTTTAGAAAAGGTAATGGTTTGAATTCAGTTTTTAATTATTTTTTATTTCTTTTTATTTTTAAATTAAATTTATTGGGATAACATTGGTTAAAAAGCCATACTGGTTTCAAGTGTACAACTCATCTGCATACTGCATCGTGTGCTCACCACCCAAAGTCAAGTCTTTTTCCATTCCCATGTTTCCCCCCTTAACCCGCTTCCACCTCCCACATCTCCCTTTTCCTCTGGCTATCACCATACTGCTGTCTGTCTCTCTGTGTGTGTGTGTGTGTGTGTACATATACATATATATTTCTTAATCTCTTAACCTTTTTTCATCTAGCCACCCTTAATTATATTGGTGGCCATATTCAATATAATCTTGTCCATTAGATCTATTTTTGTTTTTAGGGTTCCATTTCAACCTTCCAAAAATAATCTTAATCCTTTTTTCTTTTGCTACTCAAAACTTTACTGGGTAATAACTTAGAATATTATAATCAAATCCATTTTAAGAATAGTTTAAATAATCAAAATGTTTATCTAAAGCATTTCTTCATGATATTTTATGCTTTTCTTTAGAAAATTAAAGTTGTCCTTGAATTTTGCTTATAAGTATTATAGGAAAGTTAATGTTTTGTTACTGGATTTTAAGTGAGGCTAAAATAAAGTGAATAAAGTATCAGACATAAATACTGATCCTATTTATTTTTATTTATTTTTTCTGACACAGGGAAGTTTCTGTTAATGTTGCAGTCTGTCAAACGAGCTTTTGCCATAGACAGTAATAACCCATGGTTACATGAATGTCTAATTAAATTTTCTAACTCTGGTAAGTATAAACAAGATAACATTTATGTAAAAGCAGATGTGACAATTTAGCTATCTTCCATTAAGCTGCACATTAAAAGATTTACAAATTGTAAAGCAAAGAAAAAGATAATGTTTACAAAAAGCATTTAAAGGAAGGTAAGTTTATAAATTAAACATGCTTGCAAAGATAATGCTAGAAATTAGTGCATTTTTAAGCTAGAATGTATTTATATTCCAAAGGAGCAATAATATTTTCACTTTGTAAAATATGTCGAGCTTAATAAATGTATTTCAACTGATTTTGTTTCAAGGAACTGACCTAAATTTTTTAAATTTTCAAATATTTGTTTTTATAGTGTCTAACCATAGTAATCTTCCAGACATTGTGAGCAAAGTTCTATTTCAAGAAATGCAGAAGCTATTTTTCAACAAGGATTTGAAAAGTTTTAATGAGGATTTTCTCAAACATAATGCTACCTCTCTTCAGCATTTACTTTCAGGTTGGTATTTAAATCCTAGGGTTAAAATGTTTATGGAAAAAAGTTAGAATGTGATTTTAAAGAAAAGTTTGGAAAGATGTTTAACTTCACTAATTATCAGAGATAAATAAACACCAGGGATGCCCTCTTTCACCACTCTTGTTTAACATAGTTCTGGAAGCCTGGCCATCAGATAAGAAGAAGAAATAAAAGGCATCCAAATTGGAAAGGAGGAAGTAAAACTCTCATTATTTGCAGACGACGTGATACTGTACATAGAAAACTCTAAAGACTCCATCAAAAAACTATTAGATTTAAATGAATTTGGCAACTTAGCAGGACACAAAATTAACACCCAAAAATCCATAGCAGTTTTATATACCAATAATGAATTCTCAGAAAGAGAAACCAAAAAAAAAAAAATCCCATTTACCATCACAACAAAAAAATTAAGATACTTAGGAACAAACTTAACCAAGGAGGTAAAAGACCTGTACTCTGAAAACTATAGGATGCTGAAAAAAGAGAGAGAGGAAGATATAAACAAGTGGAAGAATATACCATGTTCATGGGTTGGTAGAATCAACATCATTAAAATGTCCGTTTTACCCAAAGCAATCTATGATTCAATGCAATCCCTATTAAAACACCAACAGCATATTTCACAGACCTAGAACAAACTCTCTAAAAATTTATATGGAACAAAAAATGACCCCAAATAGCTGCAATAATCTTGAGAAAGAAGAACAAAGTTGGAGGCATCACAATACCAGATATCAAGTTATACTACAAAGACACTGTGCTCAAAACATCCTGGTATTGGCACAAAAATAGGTATATAGATCAATGGAACAAAACAGAACCCAGAAATTAACCCAAGCCACTATGCTCAATTAATATTTGGCAAAGGAGGCAAGATCATACATTGGAGCAGAGACAGTCTCTTCAATAAAATGGTGTTGGGAAAATTGGACAGGTACATAAAAAAAAATGAAACTAGACCAACAACTTACACCATACACAAGAATAAACTCAAAATGGATAAAAGACTTAAATGTAAGACGTGAAACCATAAAAGTTCTAGAACAGGGGTGGGCAACCTTTCTGTGAGTGCGTGCCAAAACCAGCAAAATCTCTGACTCAAAATTTTTCTGCGTGCCAACCCTAATTTTTTGAGAACATGTTACGCCTGCTTGATATGTCTTAAGGTATACGTATATGAAGAACCTTGAAGAAATAATAAAATTCATTTGAGCGACAAAAACACAGTATATGATGATGAAAAATACACTTATTTTTTAATGTATACATGTACACTGATAGTCCGACAGAAAACTTTATGACTCCGTTTGATATTATCAGTGGGACTTTTGCTGCTGCATCACTGATGACAGAGATTTTACATCAGGTTTATATTTCGTGACCTTCAGAGATATGCACGAGCTACTACTTTCATCAGCCAGGCTACTCCTATTATGAGACTTAACAAAATTCATCACTGAGAACAAAGATTCACAAGCATATGTGGATGAAACCAAAACACTGGTCGGATCTAGGAAGGCAGGGAGAGTTAAGGCAGAGGCATAGAAATTGCTCTTCCCCTCTCTCGTCAATCCATGTCTATGGTCTTTAAGATAACTTGTTATGTAAAATTATTTATTTATCTAAGATGCACCTACACTGAATTTATCTGAAAAATAAAAAAGTCAAAATTAAGAAAAAAAATTGTAAATGGAAGATTATAAGAGAGGGTTTCGCGTGCCAGCAAAAGTTACTGGCGTGCCATGTTTGGCATGCGTGCCAGGGGTTGCCCACCCCTGTTCCAGAAGAAACCATAGGCATCAAAATCTCAGACATTGCTTGTAGCAGTATGTTTACCAATACATCTCCTAGGACAATGGAAACTATGGAGAAAATAAACAAATGGGACTACATGAAAATGAAACCATCAACAAAATAGCAAGAGAGCCTACTACATGGGAGAACATACTTGCCAATGATATCCTAATATATATAAAGAGCTAGGTGCCCAAACCGGCGACCGGTCACCATGAAGTGCATGGAGCACCTCTCGGTTCCTAGAGCGGGGAGCTTCCCGTAGCATCGCAGGGTGGCAGAGGCCATGCAACGGAGGCCAGGCTAGGCCTAGGGACCCTGACCACACACGATTTCGTGTGCGCTGGGTTTCTAGTATCTGATAAGAGGTTAATCTCCAAAATATATAGGGAACTCATACAACTTAAATGGAAGACAAACAATCCAATCAAAAAATGGGCAAAGGAC